AGATGAATGTATCAGTCAGCAGCAGGACCTTCACTCATCCTGTGTGCAGTCACTAGACTAGGATTCTTTTTTACTCATTGTTTTCTTAGATTTATGCACTCTGTGGTGCTTTGATTAACACTTTCACAACTACATGTTAGAAGCTTGGTTAAATTTAGGCACCTGGTTAGGTTTAGGAAAATGGTACAGTTTGGGTTAAAATGTGACCCATTTGCAATACATTAAATCTTCCCTGGACTGAATTCCGGCCCGACATACAATATTAGAGTAATTATTACTATTATGTACTGTATTTCTCCTGGACTGCATCCGAACTGGAGCATCATTTTTCATCAGTGATGCTCAGCATGATAGGAGCGAACAATAGGAGGGGGATCAAAAACACGTCCTTATTATCTAGCAATAGAAATTAGCACTTAAAAGAGGAGTCAGTCAATCAGTTGATTAACAGAACTATCACAGCAATCAAATTTTAAGTCATCATTTTGGCATAAACGTCGGCATTTCTCAGGTTCCAGCTTCTCTGGTGTGACTGTTGCTGCTTTTCTTTGTCTTCTATCGGTAAACCGCATACAGTATATTTGTGTTTTGAAGTGTAGGTGGAAAAAAGTGAGCCGTCTGATTGTGTCTGAGCAGAGGCTTGAGGAAATTGTGGCAAAGATTTAGCTTTATTTTTTGACATTTTACAGTCTAAACAAAGACATTATTTTAAATTTCCTAATCTTACCAGCAGTTAAGATTTTGTGGGAATCCGCAGAAATAAAAAAACATACAGTAGTTTCAAATCTGACTGTAAACAACGTCGGATCTGCTGCTCTTTGTTTCCTAACGATGAGAATTCATGTGTGGGCTGCATGGCATGACATGTCTGTGGGTATGCATACAGTATATGATACATGTCTGTGTTTGTATATATTCATCTACATGTGTGGCGTGCCTGACGCAAAGAGATTTTTTTTTTTTTTTTTTTCCAATCTGTGCGTGCGTCTTGGGGTAAAACTGTGTACACTGTACGCACACTCGTGCACAAATAGCTCCTGAGGGCCCTCGCGATCACAGACTGCCAAAAGGAAAAGGATTTCCGAGAGGTTTCTTTCTCGCTATTTAAAGTGGGAGCCCTGTGGGACATGTTTGGCATTCTCATCCACTCACTGAAGATGGCCTGTGATCTGAAGCCACTAACAGGCTCGGCGTGCTCCGTCTCTGTCTCTCGCTCGCTCTCTCTCCCTTTCTCTTTCCCTCTGGCTCTCTGAAGTGATTACCCTGCTTGTGATTCCACTGACACCCACATGTCCCCCGGAGACGTGCCTTCACTAGTTTGTTTAATCTGCCTCCCTGTACAGTAGGTAACACAGCCGTAATTGAGGTGTGGATAGAGCTGTGGGAACAGATGAAACCGATGGCAGGCTTTATGTAAACTTGTCTGCACCAGATGACAGCAGTCGCTAAATTAATGTACAAAATGCTGCTGTGACAAGAATTTTTAAAGTTAAATGTCACTTTTTTTGTTTCCTAATGTCTCCCAGGTGAATGAATGATGAGTCCTGTAATACAAAAGTCACAAATATCCAATATTTTGGTCTTTCAATAATGATTTCAAAATGTTGCTGGAAAAGTTGGTTCTTTCAGCAACTTTTCTCCGTTTCCCGTGATAAGATAATGAGTTTTCTGAGATTAGAATACCATTAACAAGCCTCGCAGTCAAGCAGATATTTGATCTCAGCAACATATGACTTCCAAAAGTTGTGCTGATACCTGAGACAGATTCCGCTTTACACTCTGTTTGAATTTTTTGATATGAAAACAGCAAGTGGAACTGTGAAAATGCAAGCATCAGATACTCTATCTCCCCCCGGTTAGTGTCTCGCCTCTGTCTGTAACACGCTTGAACTGCTCTGTTCAGAACATACAGAGTGTCAATCATCGCCCAAATCAGCCTTTAGATGAAGCAAAAAATGAAAAAGGAAGAAAAGTGATCCATAGAACTGAACTTAAATTAATTAAATATACTGTATCATGCTTCCTCTGAGAGATTGCATCTGTCCTCAGATGTGTAAAAAATAAAACATTCTCAGATATCGTTTTAAACCCTATTATTGTAAGATACCAGTAATTAAATTGACAGTGTTATTAATTGGGTTGAAGATAACTTGCATTGAGTCGAGGACATCTTAAACTCAATTAAAGATATCTCCAACTCAATTAAAGATATCCAAATGCCATGTCCCGCAATATGCAATCAGGCTCTTTCTGGAGCAATAATATCAGTTCACTTGTGCCCCTTTTACAAAGACTTCGTTGTACTTCTAAAGTTTTCTTTTTATCATTTAAAGCCTGACTTTTTAAACAGATGTCACTCTTTGGTGATGTGTATGGTTTCTTTAATGTGGCATAATTATAGTATTTAATCCTTCCTTATCCAGCGTTTGAAATAGAAATGAAGATTAGGCACTTCTGACATCAGGAAAGGAAGCGTTTAAAGGGACAGCTCAAATTTTTGGGCACAAGGAAGGATGAGTTGATGCACTGTTGAAAGCTCAGTCTGTGGGTTCAAGCTCTAAGTGGAGTCACACTTGTTAGTACATGTAGTTGTTTGCTTTTTATATGATTATTTCTGATGCGTTCAGCACGTAAATAATTAATCAAAGGCTTTGATAATCAATTAGATGTACACTAAGATTTCCTAATTTTCCTTCATTTTGTCTTTAATTTTTAAATTCAACACCTTTGGGTTTTGGACTGTTTGACAGAGAAAACAAGCAACTGAAGATATTAAACTGGGCTTCGTTTTTGTGTATATACATATATATATATGTGTGCGTGTGTGTGTGTGTGTTTTGTTTGTTTGTTTTGTTTTTTTTTAAATAAAAGTTTAACTGAGCAAAGAAAAAGCAGCAAAAGAGTTGCGAATTGGAAAGAGCAACTGGTTCTGGAAGTATTTTTAGCATTTAATTTTTTGCTTTTAATAATATCCTCAGAAAAGCAGGAGTGTCTCGGGTAAATAAACAACCCTGTAGGTTTTGGTTTTGGCCACTCAGTTTCTAAGAGAATATTGCGAGTACATCTAAATATGCGTAAATACCAGAGTTTGGGCTGCTGTTGCTATGGGGAAGAAGCCAGTTAGATGCATTTTGAAGACACTACAGCACCACAACTTGCTTCTTCACAACAGGAACTGAATCAGAACCTTTTAGGTTTCTCTGAGTGTTGGGCCTAGTTCACACATACAACTAGGCTTTTTTTCTTTGTTCTCAAAAAATATCTTAAATGTAGAAAACACATTTGCAGCCCTGTAAGCAACAAGGGGCAATACAGTGGTAACCCTAAAGTCATGTTGGCCAGTCAGGAGCTTGGAAGTAAAGCATTTACTGTTTGGGCTCATCATTAACAATTCATCAACAAAGGAGGGGAATCATACGTGTAGACTGATTCTGACACATCTGTTAATTATTGTAGTGGAGAAGTAACTCTACAGATATGTGTAAACATGTCGAAAGTCCAGTTAGCAGCATTACCACCGGCACAATTTTGGCTGCATCTGATCCTGCAAAAGTTCACCTCTTCGCCTTTTAACAAAGGAGATAGCGGTGGACGCTCTAATGTCACAAGCCAAAAACTCCCCGTTTACACATGAACACTGCAAACAGAGTTTCTGAATATCTTCACACTGAGAGGAGATTTTCAGAAGTTCCATTTTCAGGAGTGTAAAACAGCATTTGTCTGTGAAAAAAAGGGTGAAAACACAGAAATGGCTCTGCTTCAAATAATACTTGTAGATGTGGACATGGCCTGGATGAAGTTCCAGGAAGATTGTTCTCCCGAAACATAACCACTCAAAGGTGTATTACTTTCTAAAAGTACAGGTACCTTTAGTTTAGGTGTTGCAGCACTAAAAGTTGTTGATTGATTGGTCGAGTACTTGCGCATTTTAAACAGTCATTTTAAAATCCTGCAACAAGTTTATTTAATTCATTAGATGTGTTTTTTGGTGATGGTGGTTCTAATTGTTCTTGTTGTTGCTGCTCGTCTCTTTTCTAGAATTGACTCAATGGCCTCATTTGCAAAGCAGTAAATTACAATCAACAGGACAACAAATAGATTCTCCTCTATGTTTGCTGTTGATGACTCAGGATACTCTCACTGTTGTTTTATGTACCATTATGCATTGTTGCATGCAGTAATCACTGTAAAACAGATAAACAGTTGATTTTGGATACATCTGATCATTTGTCTAAGCTCCTGAGAGTCTAGCGGACTGAAGGAACCTGTTAATTCTTTGAAAAGTTCACATACATTACTCTGTAGAAATGAAAGCGTTGGAGTCTTGTGTTGTAAACATGGTGCTACGACAGATTTGACCTATAATTGATTATGAAATCAGTTTTCTCCACACCATAATCATTTTCTAAAACCCATACATCGCTGAATTTTAAGTTCTTTGATTCGATATTTATTACCTAAATGCACATTGAGAGCTGTAGCTAAATTCTTCCCTTAATTTTTCTTGTGCACAGACTGTCACCTTGGACCTTTTAATCAAAGAAGTCTTTGGGTTTTACATCACTTGTGCTCATATTTAAGGCAGTTTCATGTCGAACTAAACTGTGGAGATGCTTTGGCAGCTCCTCTTAAGTCTCTGATTCTCAGATTTCTTTGTATGTAAGATGTGATCTTTGCCATTCAAAGGATTATTTTCACATCTTTTTAAGAAATATGTTTAAAGTATGTGTCTCTTATGAAAGACCATTTCTTTTGACCTGGTTACATTTGGACCTGAAAGTTAGAGATTTGCTTCACTGTGGGATGATTCTCATCAGGTCAAACACTTCAGTGAATGGAAACGCAGTAATATACATGTTTGAGTGATTTGTTTAGATGTTTTTCCAAGTTTTTTTCTGAGATGGGATTGTGCCTGTGTTTACTGATAAATATCTGCCTTGAAATATGCGTGCGTTTATAGTGAGCATGTTGTCGGCCTTTCCTCCTCCTCCTCTCCGCAGGGCGCTGTGCCAGCTGTGGAGAGAACGTCGTGGGTGAAGGCACCGGCTGCACCGCCATGGACCAGGTCTTCCATGTCGACTGCTTCGTCTGCATGACCTGCAGCACCAAGCTGCGGGGCAAGCCCTTCTACGCTGTGGAGAAGAAGGCGTACTGCGAGCCGTGCTATATTGTAAGCAACTTCTGCCTTTTCAAACCCAACTGCCTCAACACCTCGCTCACATACGCTCTGGTTATTCGTGCGTCCATGTGTCAAAAGTGCACATTATAACATCAGGTAGCACTGTGCCTGGAAGTATCGTGTCTTTTCACTCGAGGCAACCACATTTCACTTCATCAGAGTCCACAGAGCTGCCGCCTCCCACCACACACATTTTCATTTCCTCTTCTGTTTTTGATTTGGTTTTGTTTTTGGTCATTTAATGAAACTACATCTTGTGAACTCTTCTCCTGAATGTCAGTGTCGATTCTCAGCCTTCCAGGTCAAGGTTAATACAGGAGCTTCAATAAAATGCAGCTTTACTTCTTTTTTAGGTCCTTGAAGACTTTGCACCTCTTCCTGAAACTTCTTTAAGAACCTAAAAAATCATCTCCTGAATGCAATTCCTTTCAATTATGCAACTTATAACAGTTAGCTAGTAAGGTAGGTTCAGACTTTGAACGTGTTAGCAGACTTACACATTCGTTCAGCCTTTCAATGGTACTGTAGCTGTAACATCGGACTTACACTGCAGGAGTTTTGGGCTGATTTACCCATATTTCACCTCTCTTGACAATCCAAGGAGAAATCTGGTCTGGGATTTTGATCTGAATCTAGTTTTGTGCTCAAATTATTTGGTAGTAGAAGGAGTTTACAGATCCAGTCTAAAGTGTCCTCACAGACAAATCAGTGCTGTCCTGATGATATAAAATCAAGTGTTATATTTATGACTTAAAATCTGGATGGTTTTTTCAGTTTCGTATTCTATTTATCCCTTGTCTTGATAGTGATATCATGATCAAATGTTGATAGCAGCTTTGAAAAAAAAAAAAAAACACACAGTTTGAGATGTAACCTTCATAAGACAAATGCAAAACTTGTCTTGAATACTCACCTTTTTCTCAGCCAACAATACCTGATGTCTTTGTTCTCCTTGAATAATATCAGAGATGCATTCTTTGACTTTCTATAATATAGGATTTTCAAATAGCTCTTCTGTGCTGAATTAGATGATGATCAGAAGAACATTGTTTCAGTGGGATGATGCATAACTATCTGCAGTTAAAGCTGATAAGCAGCCAGATATGTGTCGAATACACTTGAGTTATTAAATCATGTTAAATTGTAGCATGGTGTTAATTGTCTTTCATGATAAGAGAAGATTTTTCAGTCTTCTCTTTGTAACTTTTTAAAATCATTCTTTTGATCAAAAGTTGACCAGAAAGAAGAAATTGATTGACAGTGAGATATCCCAGAAGTTGTCTGAGTTATTTTTAATTTTGGGTTTTCTTACAAAACCGTGACCTGTTTTCCTGTCAATCTGTTGCACAACACACTATGTGTGCCTTTGCACAATATTAGCAGGAAAGACACATCATCTTTACAGACCACAAGGAAATCATTTAGCAGAAGTGTTTCCCTCATTTGGTTTCATTAGATTATGGTTCAGTTTTGTCATCAGTCCTGCTGCTGGAACTGACTGAGTACAGGTTTCTTGTTGTCAGCGATATTATACGTCAGTTGGCACGTCATTCCTGGAAACTGAGTTAGGAAGTAACTGTGCAATGCAGAGAAATTACCAGAGAAATTCAGGGTAATAGCTTCACTTGTTTTCATTTCAAAATACGTGGTTTAGATTACTGGATTCAGTTTGTAGAGTTTAGAACAGACGTCTTTAGTCCGCTCCTCATCTCTGCTTGAGGCTAGTGGCTTGAGGCTAGATGAGGAGCTAATAGAATAACACACACAAATCTCCATCTGAGCTCTAACCATTCGAGTTGCATTGTGGGAAATGTAGGCTCCAGGATTCGGAAAGAAATTAGGATGTTAAATAAATGACAGCATGCCTGGTTCTGTTACATCAGTTTTTATTTACTTTTTTTAAACTGTCAGTGACTATAATGGGTGTGTAGGTCTGTGGTGTACGTGTCCCACCGATTGGTCCAGTGTCTGTGTTCTCTTGTTTGTTGTCTGTTTGTCTCTGCCATCTTTTCCTCTCAAACCTTTACCCTCACCCCAACTGGTCAAGGCAGACAGCTTGCCTCCCCGAGCCTGGTTCTGCTGGAGATCTCTTCCTGTTACAATGCAGTCATTACTGTCCACCGTCACAAACACAGTGTCATAAAATCATACAAAAAACTGAATAAAATAAACACATACAGATAATGTAAAATACAACAATCCACATAAAGTAAAAATAGCAAGGTCACAACTTCAGTCCAAAATGAGTCAGGTTAATCTTAATAAACTCAAAAACTCATTAAAACTGTAAGATCTTAGCCTTAATATTCAAATTATTTAGGTTAAACTCATCAACAATTAATGAAATCTAAGTTTTAAATAGTAATTTTTCATCATAATGACTTTATTTTGCTTGTCTTGTTTAAAGATTCAGCAAAATAAACCATCTTCAAAAAAAAATCTGTGCTCCTTGACGCAATTATATAGTACAATATCTGCAGTATTAGAATCACCATTTGTTTCTAGTATCGGTGTGTCATACTGCACAAAAGACATTTTTGAGTTCTCTCTACTTCTAGCCATTATGGTGCTGTTTTCATAAAGTTGCAGGACTTTGTATTGCAATGAAAAATGAGCCCACAATGAGTTAAAATGTAACAGGGGCAAGAGGGTTAAAGAGAGATGATTTAGGTTTAGAGTTGTGTACCGATGCTGATTATTAGTTGATAAGGAGATTAAGGAGTTTTGATTTAGGTGGATGAGGGAGGAAACATGTTGATGACTTAAAAATAGCTCCTGATATACAGTAAATGCTTTCAGGAAAATGTCTTGGAATAATTATTATTATGTTAGCATTCAAATTAGTTCATGTTGCTCCTTCTGACTGCACTTATTACCACATACATATCATTTTCTTCTACATCACTTGCAGAAATTGGCTTGATATGCACTTTACCAGTAAAGTCATGAAGCTGAGCTACATAACGTTTACACCAGTGGCAGGCCATCTCCTAAATCATCCCTTTTCAGAGGCACTCACTGTGATTGTAGTTGTCTTGTCTGGAAGTTCTCCAACTCTGATACATGCGCTAAAGAGGAACGGGATAATTTAAGAACTTTATTTATGCATTTCATCAGCATAAATGTTCTTCTGGCACAAGATCAAAAGGATGGGGGAAATCTGAATTTCTTAATGAAAGTAATTTCTTCTTCTTTTATTCCCATCCTCAGGGTCATACGCCTCTGTACGATTAGAGAATGAACGTGAGAGTTGAGTCTCTGTAGAGAAATGTTAAATCCCTGAGAGGAAGAGGGAAAACTTCAAGTTAGCCTCCAAGTCAGTCAGTCTAGGAATGTCTAAGAGCAAATGAGCATTAATGATACACCATATGTTGTGTTTTTTATGTAGATTTACACGCTGTTCTCCCACTTTAATCTGCCACATTATATTAACAGCATATTAACCCATCTTGAATGAGAACAAATCAGCGTTTGTGCATAAATTCAAATTGAGTCCAGTTGTTGAGATATTGTAAAGTTGTCTTTTTTGATTTTTCAGGAGTCTTGGGAAATATATTTCAGAGCATTTCCTGACTTAGACTGGGCCTTTTTGGGGCGGCTACTGGTGACAAGTAGCACAACCACATACATTAAAGGCAATGATGATGTGTTACCTTATGTGACAGAAATCTGTGCATTTTCCTGTAATTTCTGACCATTTCAGAAATACAGTTTGCTGTTATGCTTTAGTTAATTAAACCCCCATTAACAAATCCTATATGAATACATATCTGTTATTTAATCTTCATTCCTATTAGTTTAGAACCAGTGTTTTCCTTTTACACTGACTATAACAAACCTCTTTGGGAAACAGAAAAAACACCTCTATTCTGTACTTATTTACTTTCTTGCCAACAGTTATGTGAGAGGATTAATACCGTTCTCATTTCTGTAGTCTAAATATTAGGATAAAGCCTGTAGGCAGTTAACTTAGTTTAGCTTAGCAGAAAGACTGGAGGCAAGAGAAGTGGTTGTCTTGCCTCTGAAAAATAAAATAAAAATCAATAATCAGAATCAAAGTAGAAGGCATTGAGGTATCCTGGCTTTTGTTTGGTGGTTAAACAACAGAAAAACTGAATTTCCACAAAACAAGTCAGCAGTGGGTTTCGTTTGGCCTTCAATAGGTCCATGGCTTTGAAACCTGAAGCCCCCAATTTGTAAGTTTTCTACTACAAATATGAAATTTCCAAGCCGAAGCATAAATAGCCCTGATACTGTCTCTGTGGCATCTTCAGGGTCAGTGATCAGACTTTGGACAGGTCCATCCAACTTCCTCTAAAGATTTGTTTCTGAGGATCCATTTGTCAGGTTGTATGTCCTCGAACCATTTGGCTGTCGGATCTGTGACAAGTAACCTGAGCTTGATTTGCAAAATTGTAAGAGTTTCCCCTTTAGATGTATCAAACATTTTCTGTCTAAAATGTTAAAAATGTGCCTTCTTGACTGAGGCCTTTTTCCGCCTCACACATTAATACAAAACTGTACTTTCAGACACTGAAGATGTCAAAACTGCACAATAGATGCATGTTAGTTTCCTGAAACTGGCTTAAATAGCTCTTTAGTGAAAACATCATGAGTAACTTATATCGTACAGACTGGAAACTCATTTTACATTTTTTATGTTTGTTCTACATACTGTGCGCTCTAATTGTGAAATAGATTTTTGCTGCAGCCTGCGGCAGTGTATTACATTTGATGTAGAATATCTTACAGGTATAACAGGTGCCTGAGGAGGCTCACTGTGTGTAGAATCTGTATAATATTATGCAAAACTGTGTTAATCCCTTTCCCAAGAATTGCAGGAATACATTTAGCATGCTGATTGCTATCCAGCAAAGTTCTCTGCCATGTATCAGAGTAGGCGATCAACAGCGTCTTTATCTGGGCTGGGACTTTACATATTCTGTGGAACAATGCTGGCATTTGAAAGGGCAAGATGCAGCTCTCTTCCG